TAACTGCTCCTTTCAAAAAAGGAGCATTTTCCCTAATATTTTTCATCTGAGATTGGTTATATCCATGGATGTGGAATCCACAGATACTGAGGGTTGACTACAGAATTTCAAAACAAGATGATCAGAAATCAACAATGGTTGTTATAGTGTATATTGGTATCTTCAAAGTAGTAGTTTTCAGATTACCAGATATAAGCATGCAAAATTGGTTGAAAAAAGTTAAGTATTAACTGTTCCTTTCAATAAAACAATAGAAATTAGTAATACAGTTATCTTGTGTATATATTTTTCCTTGACAAATATACAATAATATGTGCCCTCCCTTGTCATACAGAATAGTTTTGCTGCCCTAAAGATGCCCATTCTTCAGTCATTTATAACCCTTCCCACCCATGCAATCACTAGCAGCCACTGATGTTTTCACCGTCTTTATAGTTTTTGCTATCATGCCCTTTTAATAAAATCTTCTGGAATAGTAGTGAAAATTGGTCAGCATAGGAATATAGTTATCTCTTAGTATTCATGAGAGATTGGTTCTAGGACTCCCAAAAATACCAAAATCTAAGGATGCTCAAGTTCATCATATAAAACAGCAGAGCATTCACGTACAGCCTATACACATCCTTCTATACTTTAAGTTACTTTTAGATTACTTATTATATCTAATACAATGTATATGGCAGTATATATTGTTAAGGGAGTGATGAGAAAAAAGCCTGTTCAGTACAGAACCACTTTCTCTAATATTTTTCATCTGAGATTGGTTATATCCACAGATGTGGAATCCACAGATACTAAGTGCTGACTGCAGAAGAGAGATGGGCTTGATTTATTGAGCACATCCTTACTTTGCACCAGATATTCACTAAGGTATTTTACATACATTACCTCACCTGATTTTCATCACATGATAAAAGCTGTTATTGGCCTATTTTAAAGAAAGGAATTATGGCGTAGGGCATTGGGTAAGCTATTCAGGTTATACAACTAGAAGGGGTGGACCTAGAATCAGAGCCCAGACAGAGTAGAGTATACCCCAGTGCTACACTGCTCATCCTCCCCAATTCCTGGCTATTCTCAGATTAACAGCATGACCGTTGCTCTTCTTAAGACAAATGAAAAGATACTATGACTTTCTGTGTTATGATTTACTATGATTAGCATAGATTCATTTCATTGGTCTTAAAATCTAAAAGTTTATTTAGACTTACACATATACATTGAAAAAATAACCACCCTCCTTTTGTTTTGAGATAAAATTACCAACTCCAAGAAACAAATTACCCAAGCAAAAATAGGCAAATGAATAGACTAGACCCCTCTCAAACAAAGAACAAATTAAAAAAATATTTGGCCCCTTTAGCCATTAGGGAAATGCAAATGAAAACAACTTTGAGAGTCCATGTTACCCCAGTTAGAATGGCTATCATCAGGATAACAAAACACAATGAAGGCTGGTGAGGATGCACCAAAAGTGAACCCTCCTATATTGTTGGTGAGAATGTAAACTACTATACCCACTCTGGAAATCAGTATGCAAATTCCTCAAAAAACTAAAAATAGAATTCCATTTGACCCAGCTATACCTCTCCTGAGTGCATGCCCAAAAGAATTAAAGACATCAGGGCTGGGGATTTAGCTCAGTGGCAAAGCGCCTGCCTGACAAGCTCAAGGTCGTGAGTTCAGTTCCCGGTACCGGAGAAAAACCAAAAAGAAAAAAAGAATTAAAGACATCATACTAGAGTGATAGGTACACACCCATGCTTACCACAGCACAATTTACTGTAACTAAGCTTTGGAAACAGTCTAGATGCCTGTCAACAGATAAATGGATAAAGAAAATAAGGTATGTGTATACAATGGAATATTATTCATCCATAAAGAAGGATGCAATCATGTCATTTGCAAGAAAATGGGTGGAACTTGAGACCATTATGCTAGCAAAATAAGCCAGACTTGGGAAGTTAAATGTTGCACACTTTCTCTTATGTGAGAACCCTAAAATATAAATAAATAAATAGTGATAGGAAACTAGAAGATAGAATCTTGGAGATAGGAAATGAGATTGGGGGCAGGGGCAAAGGTATGGAAAATGAGCAAAATATGCTTGCTATATGCATGTACCAATTTCCCAAAATAAATACCACTATGCTATAATATAAACATACACTAATAAAAATAATAATAAAATAAAATAATTTAAATTGCCTTTTGGCATGGTTCTGGCAAGGATTAAGGATGTGAGTGCTGCACCCACCCTAGGGCGGGCAGCCTGCATACAATATAAGGGATGGAAAGAGGCTTGTCTCTCCCTCCCTTGTTGCTTTTGCTACCTTGTGGCCACCATGAACTGTTCTCTACGATGCCCCTCTGCCAAGCCACCCTAGCTTACAGCCAGCTAATTATGGACTGAAACCTCCACAAACTGTGAGCTAAATAAACCTTTCCTCCCTTAACTTGTGGCTGTTGGGTATTTTGTCTCAGCAATGAGAAAATCAACTAAGTCAGCAAGCCGTGGAAAAGGAGAAAATATTTGAAAATCATCTGGTAAGGGAATAATATCTAGAATCTATACACAACTTAACAACAAAACCAATAAAACCAAGCCAAAAAGTAACCCACTTAAAAAATAAGCAAAGGACTTGAGCAGACATTTCTCAAAAGATGACACACATGTGCCCCACAGCATATGAAAAGCAGCTAAGCATCACTGGTTATCAGAGAAATGCAAGTTAAAGACACCACAGTGAGTTAGTGCCTCGCACCCACCCAGTGGGATGGCTACTAGTTTTTAAAAATAAAAAAATAAATATTGATGAGGATGTAGAGAAATTGGCACCCTATGCACTGTGGGTGAGATTGTAGAATAGTGCAACTGGAAAACAATACGGTGTTTCCTCAAATCCCTAACCATGGAATTATCGTGTGATCGAGACTTCCCACTTCTGGGTGTACATATCCAGAGAATTGGAAGCAAAGTCCTGAAGAGATATGTGCATGGCAGTGGTTTCATGGGAACCATTAGGTAGAAGCAGCTACACAGATGTTTGTCTGTACATGAATGGAGGAATGATACATAGCAGAATATCAGTCACCCTTTAAAAAGAGGAAGATTCTGTCACATGCTACAAAGAGATGAAACTTGAGGATGTTCCGCTAAGTGAAATAAGCAGGCACAAAAATACAAATACAAGGTATGGAAAGTAGTAAAACTCATAGAAACAAATTATAAATACAGGGGTTAAGGTGGGGGAGGAAAAAGGGGGAGCTGTTTAATGGATGTAGATGTCAGATTTTCAAGCTAGAAAAGTTCTGCATATCTGGTTTACTACAATGTGAACATACCTCGCATTATAAAATGGCATGCCTAAAAATGATTATAATGATAAATTCTATGTTTTGTGTTTTTTTAACCATAATAAATCATGAAGTTGCTTAAGAGAGTCAAAAAGATATTTATACACTAATGTTCATTGCAACATTATTCACAATAGCCAAAAGGTGGAAATAATCCAAATGTCCTTCAGTTGATAAATAGATGAATAAAAAATGTTTTAGACATACAATGGAATGCTATATAGCCTTCAAAAACAATGAGATTTTGACACACGCTACTATGGCATGGATAAAGTTTGATGACATTATGCTAAGTGAAATAAGCCAGTCACAAAAGAACAAATGCTGTATAACTCTACTCATCTGAGGAGATTACAGTTGCCAGATTTATAGAGAGGTACAAGAGGCTGGGGGGTGGGGCAATATGCAGTTAGTGCCTAATGGGTACCAAGTCTCAGTTTGGGAAGATGAAAAAGTTCTGGAGCTAAAAGGTAGTAATGTTGTCAGGATAAAGTGAGTGCACTCAGTGCTATTTTGTACTTAATGAACTTCATGTTCTGAATGAACACTTGAATTTGTCTAAAATAATTCATTTCCAGTTGTGTATATTTTATCACGATTAGAAAACCCAAAGGTGGGGCTGGGGATTTAGCTCAGCGGCAAAGCGCCTGCCTGGCACGTGCAAGGTCGTGAGTACAGTTCCCGGTACCGGAGAAAAACCAAAAAAAAAAAAAAAAAAAAGAAAACCCAAAGGTAACTAACTTCTTTTCCTCTAAGGGAACTAGCCTGCTGGGAAAGATTAACTGCCACATGGATCTATCCAGGCAGAGGAGCTCAAATTGGAGATTACTGCTGTGTAGCTTTCTCAGAAGTCACAAGTAGAACCTAAGAACAACAACCCCAGATCTCACTGGCAGCCAATCCCAGTCGTATGAGAGGTTTCATCGGAGAAACAAGCAATGGGAAGGAGATAGGTGTTGAGCAAAGGATTGCACCCTTGATTTTCTCTCCGGTGGCTCCTAAGATTCCTGGGATTCTGAGAGCTGTAAACATCAGCTCACTCTATGGTCACAAGGACCCCACTTTCCCTGTGGGTACTGAGCATGGGCACTTTGATGTGGACTTGCCTTGAGGCAAGCAGAGCTAGTAAGCAGAGACAGGAGTCGAACCCTTGATGGTTTGGAGGCCACAATTCTTATCCATTCTGCTGTTCTGCTTCCAAGGAAGTGAGGGGCTAACAATTTGAATTTGAACAGGCGGCTGAGATTTCTGTCCCCATCTTACAGACAAAAGGCCTGAAGTCCAAGAGACAGTTAAGTCAGCTTCCCCAGATTTGGCAACCAGGAAATTTCATTCCAGCTCCCCAATCCTGATTTTCCCAGTTGACTGTCTCTCTTACTTGGAAAGTCAATAGAAGTCTCTCCTCATTAGGCCATTTCTCAGGGGCAAATGTGGTCTAGATTCTAGAGCTGTGTCCTATTTTTTTTTTTTTTTTTTTTTTTTAGCTTTAAAATCCCCTAACAATGGAGTGTTTGAGCCATTTCACCTCTCTCTTGAGAATTTTGAGTCCACTAAACAACTACAGCTGGAATGCTGGGCTGCCGCACGTGGGCAGAAACCACCACGGTCAAATCAATTGGCTGTTCTAACGGTAGTCCTTTGGTTTGGGAATACAAGGCCTCGAGTGAAGGAAGCTGTGAAGTGAAGCAGAAATGTGGAAAATGGAATCCACTGCTGTGGAAGGCTTCACTTGAGATTTTTGAAGCTAAACAGTCTGGGAAATGGTGGCAGATGCGGGTAGCATATTGCAGAGATTGAACCGCACAACCAACGGCACCGTGTAACTTGGACCAAAGCGAGGAAAATCACAGGCTCCAAAATAGCTTCAGTGCAATGGAGGAAAATGTGAAGTAATGTGTTGTGGTGGAGAGCAGTTAAACTTGTCTCACAAACTAATGAGTTCAGGACGCTCAAGGAAACAAATCTCCAGCCTAATTCAGCAGCAGCTGAGGCAAGAAGGGACAGCGTTCCCTTAAAGGCAGTATGAAGGAGCCCATGGACTTTCCTGGAAGGCTTAAGTTGGATGGCCCCGGAAGGGTCACTCTTGCAGCCACCACAGCGGAAGAATAAATGTGATGCCTGGGCAGAATCAGCCACCAAGTCTGGTCTTGCTTCCTCCCACATTCTCAACATTCCTCTCTCCCTTCCCACCACCGCCTTGCTGAACCAGCTGCTCAGCACCTCCTGCCTGCTGCTAGATCAAGCCTGCATCTGCTGACAAGGGCCGCTCCTGCTCAGAAACCTCCAGGAGGTCCCCACTTCCCACAGAACGGACTTCCAATTCCTCAACCTGCGCACTGATCAACTTCGCATAGCTGTCGGGTCTTCCGGTCTGTTTCCTCGTCGCGCTGTATGACGTCATGAGCTTCTCCGGAAGAGGATGGCGTCTCTTTGATCCTTGTGGCCTCACCTGCTCTATGTAATAGCTTCTCATTAATGTGTGTTGAATCCTTGCTGCTAATTCGCATCCTTCAGGGGAAAAGACATGAGGCTGCATTTCAGCTCTACCTCTTGCTAGCTTTGTGCTCTTGTGTCAGCTGCCTGGTGGCTCTGAGCCCCATTTTCCTTACAGGTTGAGTATCCTTTATCTGAAACATTGGAAGCAGAAGCATTTAGGATTTGGTTGGGTCTTTTCACCTCTTTATTTTTTTTCATGTACATAAGGAGATTCTTGTGAATGGGACCCAAGCCACATATTTAATTCGTTTCACATAAGCCTTACACACATAGAATGAAGTTAATTTTCTACATTATTTTTACCTGTATTTTGACTATAACCTATCCCATGAAGTCAGATTTGGAATTTTTCACTTATAGATTAATGCTCAAAAGTTGGATTTTGAAGCATTTTGAGCTTAAGATCTGCAGATTAGGGTTGCTCAATCTGTATCAGGAAATGGGGGTAAGGGTGTCTACTTCATTGGTTCATTTTGAGAAAAGAATAGGGCAAATTATATAAAATGCTCAGTCAGTGATAAACTCTTGCTAAGTACTTAAAATATATATAGCCTATGGCAAAGCTACTGTGTCCCAAAACCTTGTCGTGGAGCCAGACATCCTCAACCATAGAGACGAGAGAAGCATCACCAAAGATAGGATTTTGTGGCATTTACTGAAAGGAACTCTTTGCTCTGGCACTCAGTTTTAGATATTTCTTAAGAAAGATAGTTGAGAGCTGGGGAGAGAGCTCAGCGGCACAATGCCTGCCTGGCAAGCATGAGGTCCTGAGTTTGATTCCCAGTATCAAAAAAAAAAAAAGAAAAGAAAAAAGAAAGATAGTTGAGAATAAACAGATAACAACAAGAATTTTTAAAAGACTGCACTAGGGTGGGTGGTGAACCAAAGAAAGTTCTTGATTCAGAAAAAGGACAGCCAGCCAACATTTTTAGCATAAGATCAATCCCATTCTTGTAAGTTTCAGCTACTCAAAGAGAATTATCAAATCTAAGGACAGTAAATTTAGAATAAGATGTGTTTGCTGTACAAAATTGGTTTTGTAGCTGGCACAAGGAAGGAGGAGTCCTCCTCAAAATCACTGAGGTCACCGCCACCCTTTAGCAGCTCTACTTGTTCAACACCCGGTGTTTACTATAACAATGACAGTGGTCAAAGTCTGGCAGAAACCAGACTAATGAGTGCTTAAGAGAGGTCATTTAAATCACAAAGGGCCTCACATCACCTGTGTGTTCTACACACACACACACACACACACACACACACACCCCACTCCTGTACTATTCTGCCATTCTCTATTCTTCTATGTGATAAGCACAGTCCTCTAAACCATGAGCATAGTCTTAAAACATTAATATTTTATGAAACTTTTTAAAATTTCAAGATACAACCCATGTGTGGTTGGTAATATTCATCCAGTGGGTTGAAGCACCTATTTTTTAAATGAAATAGAAAATAGCACTGCATCACCTGTGATAATGTTGAGTATCATTTTATGAGGCTTGCATCTTGGTTATGCATGCATAGGTAGTACATATAAAAATATGTACAGTTACTGTGAGTTTCAGTCAAAAATGTTTAAAAAGTTGACAAGTACCTGTGCCAAACCAGTTATAATCTTCTTGTTTCTTTCTTTTTTGTTGTTTTTCTTTTTGTTTTATTTTTTTAGATTTCTGTTAGTGCCTGGCACCACGCCTTAACACAGAGGAAATATCCATGACATATTTGTGAAATGGGTAGGAACAAGTGAGTTATTTCATGAATGAATGGAGTACTTGGTAGCCAGAGTAAGGAAGTACTTCAAGAATGAGAAAACAGGTATGATAATGGAAAAGTAAGAATGTCTTTGGACAAATTTCTTTTACTTTGAGGGGTAGCTGGCTCTTTTCAAGCCTTTAAGATCTGACACCAGGCATAACTGAAGTCTGAACTGGGCACAATATCTACTTGATAGCTTCTTACTTTTCATTGTACTTTATATTATTTTATACAAATGTAATAAAAGAATCTTTTGGAACTGGTGAGTAATGCAAGCAATTCAAAATTAAAAGCGGTTAAATTGCCATTTAAACATTAGTGTCCTGTATTCAAATTATCAGTGACACTGATAATTTACAATAAAATCTAGGAAAGATCTAAACACCCATCAACTGATGAGTGAATTAACAAAATTGTCCATACAATGGAACTATTGAGCAATAAAATGGAATGAAATACCGATACACAAAACAGCATGCACGAACCTTGAAAACATCATGCGAAGTGAAAGAAGCCAAGCATAAAAGACAACGTATTTTATGACTCCATTCATAGAAATTTCTAGATAAAAAGCAGATCATTGGTTGCCTGGGCCTGAGTGTGAGAGTGGAGTTTAACTACAAATGGGTTGAAGAAGGGAATTTGGGGATATTGGACGTATTTTAAAATTGGATTGTAGTGATAGTTGTACAACTCTATAAATTACCAAAACTTCTTGAACCGCACTTGGAAGAGATGAACTTAATGCTCTGTGAATTATACCTCAATGAAGTTTTTAAAAATTATAAATGTTTTGAAATGCCTCTGTAGTCTGGCAAATGAAAATGAAAAAATTCATTTTTCATTTCAAATGAAAAAAAGAGAAAATGAAAATTTTCTCTTATATTTCCCAGTTATGACTTTATTTATAGGAAGAGAGTCTGGACTTCTCATAAATTCAGGCTATTATGTAACCTTGGCACTTCCCCCTTTTCCAAGAATATGGACAGAACATCCGAGTCTATCTATCGGCCTCCTTGTCAGCTCCGTGAGCCTAAAGAGGCGGCACAATCCCACTTGGCAAGCACGGCCTGGCTTGTCCTTTGCTCACCCACTCAGCCGTGGAGATGCCATGGAGGCAGTAATTCCTGGGAGGCCCTTCCTGCACTGTTGTGTTCCTCAGAGACAGCAAGCATGTAGAGCCCTTCCTATGTTGCCAAAATCAATCGGCAATTGTAAAGAGAATACACCAGACTGGTACAATAAATTCCTGGGCTTTCTCTCCCCAAATAACTCATTTCACTTTGAAAATGCAAAGCAGTTATAATATTGCCAACCTTGTACCCTAAAATCACGGCGCTATTCAAAGTTACCCATCAAGGCGACAGGTAGTATTTGAAGGCGATGACTGCCATTCTACTCCTTGTTCATATAAAGAAGAATGTGTCTTAGACAACTTTCACCCTCTCCCTCTTCCCCCTCCAAATAGTACCCTGGAACTGTGTTAAGTGTGCAATAAGCCCTAGATAAATACTTGTTGACTTGATTGATTCTTTGTCTACCCCAATGACAATGGCCAAATTAGAATTGATGGGATGATTCCCGCAAGCCCTGGAATGGAATGGAACACCCTGTACACCATGGGCTCAGTAATTTGATTAATGATGGTGTGTCTTACAATGATTACTTTCACATCTCAAATCTCTAGAACCTCTCTGATCCAAACCAGGAGCGGGGACGGGGGTGTGAGCCTAATAGTCTTCTAGCTCTCACCAGTTCATGTAAAAATTACAAATCAAATCCAAGTAGGTAAAAGTTATTATAATTCACAATAATATGAAACCCAATTTAAGTTTTGCCAGTGTTTAAAATGGATAAGACACTGCATTCCATCTTCTGATTGTTTGTTTTGAAAAAATAGCACTAGAGTTTCCCAAGTAGCTTATAATTCCAACTCCAAAAAGTCAAAGTATTGAGGGCTAAATCCTTGCCACAACACACAAAATACAAAGTAAAATGAACAATAAATAGCAATTTGATATGAATAACTGCAATTTGGGAATTGCATTTGTGGTATTTTTAAAAACTTCTTTGAGTATTTCTTTTAAAAATACACTCCACCCCTCCCCACGTATTAGATAAAGGGAGAAGACACACAGATGGCTCTCTTCCAGCCCACTCAGCGGCTGAAAGTGAATGTGATTCTTACACTCCCTCCACAGGGATCGTCAGCGAAGAGGCATGCAGTAAATAACCCTCCCTCACTTGAAGTGAAGACAGCCTACAGGGGAGAACTGGCTCTGTTAAAGACTCCAAGCCACAAAGGTCGTTTCCTCTGGAGATGATGAACATGAGCTAGAAAGAGAGGGAACAGCCACCTACGTGGTGCAGCTGCTTCCCCTAAAACACCAAAAATCAGGCTCCAACTCCCTTACTCTCCAATTAAAAGTGAGTGGAACTCATAAATGGCATCTCTTGCCATATACCTGTGATTTATCTTATTGTTTTCATACTCTTATTTATTAAAAGTCTGCTGTATGCCCAACCCATGTGTAACTCAATGAATTATGAAATCTTTTCCTTTTCACTACCTTCCCTGGCATTTTGTAAAATCCTTGGGGAGTGGGATTGTACTCTTCTCTCTATATAGTTTTGACCTCCAGCTGAATACCTGGTAAAAGGTGTGCACTTAATTAATGTTGACTGAGTGGATGGATGATTGAATGGCTGGAAAGAAACTGAATGGGTGAGTGAGCAGGTGAATGGGAGGATGGATAGATGGATGCATAAATGGATGGATGGATGGATGGAGAGACAATCAGTCAGTAATTCTCCCTACTTTTAAGCTCCTGTTTATCAAGGTGCCCTTGCATTATGATTGTTATATAAATACATGACATTATCATTAAGTTCCTATTCCCCATCTGTTTTTATGATAAACCTTGTGGGAATACTCAGAGAAAGAGTTTCTTGCTTCAGCATGCCACATGTGGGATGTTCTTTGCCAAATGTGCTATTTATCACCTGAAAACCACTCTTCCTGATATCTCATTCCATTTATAGATTCTGGATCTAGTGTAAGATTTTATTTTTTGAATTAAAATGTGATAAGAGACCTTTCGGTTCCCAGAGTTTCTTCTTTGTCTGTAGGTCAGAAGCTTTTGGCTGGAGTCCCAGTATTTCTCTTGAGCTACTGCATACTTCTGCTGACCAAATCTCCTTGGCCTTCAAGCCAGATGATGTCATACTCTTTATAGTTCATTTTTCTAAGAGGGTACTGACACTGACATAGGCACACCTATCTTGAATTTCCTATTGCTTACAGAACTGGCAAGCATGTGATCATGTTTTAACTCTACATGGTGAGGTCTTCACAGAAGGTTTTTGATCGTTATGCTAATGATAAATGTAGTTGTTTTGTTACAATTACTATAGGTAGCTGTATGGTTTGTGATGTATTATATAATTTCATGTAATAATTGATGGAAATTTGTCTCTTAGAGATACTATTTTTCTAATACAAAACATATATGATAATAAATAATTAATACTATTTATGAAGCATCCACCAAATAGGAGTTACTATTAGTTCAGTCAAACATTAGTTCACTCTTTTCACATTATAGTTATGGAAAGTAAGGAATAATATTTCCACTCTGCTCACAAAATTAATAAAGTGACTATTCAAGGACATATCACTAGCAACTGGCAAGTTAGGGTCTAAACTGAAGTCCAGCCAGTCAGTGTTCCTTCCACTGTATCACATGAGTTAGATTGTTGTAAGAAAAACACATCTCTATCGCTTATCACACAAGACATTGCAGTACTGCACAGGCATTGGAAGTCATGCTCAGAATGACTGTGGCTTTTAGTCAAAACCAAACCAAACCAAACCAAACCAAACCAAGGTCAGATATGTAGACTTTCCTCAACTTCAATACAATGCAACCTTAAAAAAAAAGTCAGTCATCACCATCCTTAATCTTTGAGTACTGATTTCTACAATATACATACTCACAAGCACTCTAAAATGATTGAGTAGCAGGGGCCCAATTGGTTGTTTCCAGAGCAACAAGATTTGTCCCAATTTGCAAAGAAACCACAAAATAAAATTATACAAAGCTGGAAGGACAGTGGTTTGGATGTCACAACACTTGGTCAGTTTTGCCAGTATTTGAGTGCCTAGAACGAGAATGCAGGGCCCAGTCACAGCCCCTCTGTTTGGTTTTTGCTTTATGGGGTTTTTAACACAGCAGCAAACAGGAGGAGGCTGCCAGCTGGCTGGAATCTCCAGCTACTCTGAAGGTCAGAAAGCCACCTTTTTCTGACATATGCTGTCCCTCTCCATTGCTTTTTAATATGTGCAGCTGTGGCCCTGCAGAGAAAGCATTCTTGTCCCTGGTGTGTTGTGGTGATGTGGAGGTACTAATACGGCTTGAAAGCTCAGTCTAATTTAAATCTTTCCCATGTTTTATTTCATGGCCCACTGGGCACAGAGCTTGAGGTTTACACCCTGTCTCTGTGAGCATGTAAGGCCGAGGCAGGCTGCCCAAGACCAAGAACAAGAGCACATTCAGTTGCCCAGCACTACCAGACCCACGGGCAGGTGTATTGTTGGGCCTGGTGCCCCGCCTCCTCCAATGTACAACCCCATAAACCCTCACCCAGGCAACTTCCTCCCCCATTTCTTGTCTCCATCCTGATTCCCTTAGCACCACTTTCGCTCCAGTCTCTCAGTAATTTTAATCCTAAAATCCAGCAAGCCATTTCTTCCTTGATGAATTGTTCTTTCTCTACTTCACCCTCTAACCTGGCTCTGAGGTAATTTCCTAATTCTCTTTGACAAGACACTCGACTCTTGACAAGGATTAGACGTTATTTTTAACCTGAACCACATACAAGGAAATGATGCAATGATTTCTTTGAGCTGGCTGAATGGTTCCTCTTTTTCAGTCTTTGAATTAATATGCCTCTGAACTTGAAGTTGTTTTTGGCCTCCGTGAGTAATTTCATAATCACAGAACAAAGTCCATGTCTTCCAGCTCGAAGTGCTGATTAGTGGTGATTATCTCCAAAGGACTAGCATTTTTATCAGACATTGATCCTGATGTCAAAAATTAGAATGATTTTAATGCATCCTGTGGACAACTGAAGGTCTTTGGAATCCCAAGCGATCTCTTGGATGCTGTTTTATCACCCCCTCGCAAAGCCTGCTCGAAGACTGGAAGAAAGATAGCTCTGCCACCTGGGCTCATCCATTGTCCGCTGGTTCTGTAATCCCTCCAACCTTCCATTTCGCACATACATTTCTTAAATCCATCACTTTTAAACTATTTGTACATTTAAGTCCATATGTCTGTATCAAGGTTTCCCAATCAAAGCACTAATGACATTTTTAAAAGAATCATAGAAAAATACTTTATTCAACTTCATAAAAATACTAGGTTGAAATATACGTAACCATAATTTTTTAAATTTTAGTTTAGTTTATTCATATGTGTGTGTAGTGCGTAATGTTTACAGTCCTTGTGGGAAGTTGGTACATGTATATAACACACCTTAATTCCTTTTTTTGGCTCCTTTCCCTTCTCTACCTGCCTTATCCATCATCTCTTGATCCCTTTCCTTTTTAAAATTTTTTTGCACACGTTTGCAGTACACAGTGTTTACATTCCTATGTGGAATTGGTACATGTGCTTAACACATCCCAAATCCTTTTTTTTCACCTCGTCTCCCACCTCGCTCCATTTCCTGATCTCCTTCCCCTTTGAGAAAGATCTATCTCCCTACTTGCTATTATGCATCTTCTATTTTCCTCTTTATTTTTACTCTGGGTCTCATATAAGAGAAAGAACTACTGACATTTTAGGTCAAACAATTCTTTGTGTGAAGGCCTATGCTTGACAGGTTATCTAGCAGCGTTCCTGGTATCTACTCACTAGATTCTAGCAGTACTCTCCACCCTGTTTTTGTTGCTGCTGTTATTTTGGCTTGGCATTGATTGACTGATTGATTGATTGCTCTACTGAAGATCAAACTCAGGGTGACATATCCTAGGCAAATGCTGTACCACTGAGCTCCATCCCCAACCCTCTTTCCCAGTCTTGACCACCAAAAACACCTCCTGACATCAGCATAGGTACTCTAGGGATGCAGAATTTCTCCCAGCTGAAAACTGCTGGCTTCTATATTGTTTTAAATTATAAGTTCTTTTTAGATAGGAGCTGATTTAATGTATACAGACTTCCACACAATCAGAAGGTGCTTAGAGAAGACTGCTCAGTGATGATTACAATTATTAAAAATGTCACCAGAATTTTTGGCTCACATCTAAAAAAAATGAAAAATTCAAACAGATGATCAAGTAAATAGTAGCTAATTTGTCTTATTCGGCCTTCCGTTCCTAACAATAAGATTAAAGCAAAACAATAATTCTTAGCTCTCCCTTATTAACCTCATAGGGGAATTGAAAATTGGTCAGGTAGAGTTCATTTCCTCATAGTTAAACTCTCCCCACAAAAATAAGAGGCAAGTAAAACTGAAATCACCCACAGTACCTTGAATGATTGCAATCCTTCAAGTGAAGTGTCTGCCTGGGATAAACATTCCTTTGCAATTACTGTTCTGAGAGGCTGAGGATGTGGGGAAGCTCCACTACGCTTGCAGAATATGCCCCTTGTAAAGCATCTCAAGTATCTTTCATGGGTGAACAAGGCAAAAAAAAAATAGACATAAATTGAGACACTATTATAACTGTTATTCATTCATCCAAATGGCATTGAACTTCCGGATGTGGAAAGGGACAGCTATTAAATGATCTCTTTATAGCCAAAGAACAAACCTTTTATCGGTTAAGCTGACTAATTACATGGGCTATTTTTATTCTATTCATAAGAGACAAGGCATGTAGGGCTTGATTGTTCTTACATGCATTGGCTAACAATTCCATTAAACAAATATTTATTTAAACCATGAATAAGACAATCTGATAGTCATCAGTCACCAAAATGGAAATACCTAGATGAGCGAAAAATAAGACTATGGTCTCCCACAGCTTGCAATTCTGAGTTCCATCACAATGGGTTGTATATTTGCATTATGTCTCCACATATACTTGTGTTTGATATCTCAAAGCTAAGTACTACAAGCTCCAGGAGAGCTTTTTTTAAAAAGTGTGGTGGCCATTCAAAGGATAGAGTGAGCAACACAGAGCTCATGGAAACATAGCTTTTAAAGGGAGAGTGGGTACTCAAAACATTAATGTTCAGGTTTGCGCCTGATTTAAAAATCAACGCACTTTTCCTGTTTTTTAAAAAGATGCAGAAAAAAAAAATAAGAACAATAGATTTATCAAATGCCACAGAAAGCGTGGGCCAAAGCATAGGACCTTGTCTGCTGGGCTGGCAGAACCTGTCCAGGAGCCCAGGGAGCTATGGGGAAACATAAGACGAGGGCTTGAATGCAAGATCTAATGAGGAAGGTAGTGGGGCACCTCGGCTGGGTGAGTGTTCTGGGCATGTCCTGATTGCATGCTCGTACCAGTTT